AAAGAGGTGGCTGTTCACAGAGTTGACGTCTGCTGGTGTTGGTCTATTGTGTTTTATCAAGTCTAAAGTCAATGCAGCCGTCTACCAGGAGATTTTGGAGCACTTTATGCTTTCATCTGCTGACAAGCTTTATTGAGATGCTGATTCCCTTTTCCAGCTGGACTCCAAGTGGTTTGCTGACCAAGCTTCAGACATCTTCAGGAAAAGGGCTACCAAGCCACTTCTGAAACAGAAAATACGTCAGAAGCATCTTACCTGGGCTAAGGAGAAAAAGAACTGGAGTCCTTTTTTCAGATAAAAGTCAATTTTGCATTTCATTTGGAAATCAAGGTCTGGAGTCTGGAGTCTGGAGGCAGACTGGAGAGGCTCCGAATCCAAGCTGCTTGAAGTCCAGTGTGAAGTTTCCGAAGTCAGGGATGATTTGGGGTGCTGTGACGTCTGCTGGTGTTGGTCTATTGTGTTTTATCAAGTCTAAAGTCAATGCAGCCGTCTACCAGGAGATTTGAGCACTTTATGCTTCCATCTGCTGACAAGCTTTATGGAGATGCTGATTTCCTTTTCCAGCAGGACTTTAGCACCTGCCCACAGAGCCAAAACCACTTCCAAGTGCTTTGCTGACCATGATATTACTTTGCTTGATTGGCCAGCCAACATGCCTGACCTGAACCCCATATGGAATCTATGGGATATTTTCAAAAGGAAGATGAGAAACAGTCGATCCAACAATACAGATGAGCTGAAGGCTGAACAGTGCCTCAGCAGTGCCACAGGCTGATCGCTTCCATGCCACACCTCACTGATGCTGTCATTTGTGCTAAAGGAGCCCTGACCAAGTACTGAGTGCATAAATTAACATACTTTAAAGAACTTTTTTGTTTTGCAAATCCTTTTTTTGATTGATCTTAGGAAATATTCTAATATTTTGAGATACTGAATTTTTGACTTTCATGAGCTGTAAGCTCTAATCATCAAAATTAAAACAAAAAAACGTTTGAAATGTTTTACTTTACATGTAATGAATCTAGAATATATTAAAGTTTCACTTTTTGAAATAAGTTACAAAAAAAAAGAAATTTTTCACGATATTTTAATTTTTTTTAGATGCACCTGTATATACTTATCACACAGTTATTAAGAATAAAGCTTTAACTTCACTGTGGCCTGTTGTAGGTTAATGGTGATTTTCCTGCCGCCAATCCCTGGACCAAAAATCAAAGGAATTGACCCTGTACTTTTACAGGTATTTGACTTCACATCCTTTTTTTGTAGAACTTTGAGGGTATTTTCTACAAATTAAAGCTTTTATATTTGGGTTGTTTCTTTACAGAAAGGTCAGCTGACTGAATTCACGTCAATCTTAGGCACTCACCCCGGCTTGCGGCCAGAACTGTACAGCAACGATCCATGGGTAGAGTTCATAGAGGTGGACATCGACGAACCGCACGAGAGCCAGGAGGAGCTTCTTATTGCCGATTCTCCGATCTCTGACTCTCCTCAAATGTCCAGTAGTTTCAGGGATGATGACTCGGGTCGGGCTAGCTGCTGTGATCCGGATCTGTCTGATCACGATCAAACGGATCTACATCATCCTTCAACAAGCAACCACGATGGTTTCCACACATTGTTACGCGCACAGTCTGGGCCACAGCAACCGGCAGCCTTCTCTCCACAAGACACTACCTGGTCAAACAGTCTTTACTCACAGGTCAGTGACGTCACTCATCATGGTGGAGTTGTACTTTCTCCTGAAGAGAAAGAAACGATGGCTCTGAAGGATAAAAACCACAATAAAGTGAAAGAAATCCAACAGTTGGTGGTGATCCCTGATGAAAGAGGCTACACCTCCGAGTTTGTTGCCAGCACAATCAGCACCCACCACAATAAACCAAACCCACCGACAGACCAATTACAGAGTCAAGAACAACACGGTGCATTCAGAGACCTTCAAAAACTTAGCACTGAGACTGTTGCATCCACTCAGTCCACAGCATTTCCCATCCTTGCAAAGCCTACCAGTCCAGAGTACACCATGGTAGATGGCGTGGACTGGAAAAACAGTCTCCTCCTGAAACCAAATACACCAACCGCCCCAGAGAAGGCAGCAGTGAAGACTTTGCCCACTCCTGAAGGGTACTTGACTCCTGACCTACTCGACAACATTACACCTTAACTAAAAGTGGAGTACGCGTGCTCTTCGTGAGATATCTGACATGGTTAGCCAACATCAAACAAGATGTGTGATCCATGAGAAGGGAATTTTGAAACGAAGCCAGTTCTCAAGCGTTCTCCAGTGGTAGATGTCATGAAACAAATCTATTGGCAAGCTAATAAATGGCTGTATTAGGCCTGGAGTCTTTTCTATATTCTCCTAAGTTGGAGGGTTAACAGCTTCAGGGGTTAGTTTGAGCAGATATGGAGCAGAAGTATATTAGCTGGCTGGTTACTGTCATAAAAAGATAACAACTGATATTTTATGCTCTCAAATGTTATATAACAGCTTTATTGCTGAATTGCCGCTCCATATTTTGTGCGTTTGTATTGTTTTCAGTGCACTAACTACCAACTACACGTCTGTGTAAACTGTAAAGTGCCTACTTTAGAATATATTTCAACTTCAGTGTTAAAAAAAAAAAAAGTACACATTTAAATCAAAGGGGTTTATGTGAACTGTTACAGGCTTTTTTCCTCAGTGTCTTTTTTTTCTTCCATAAAAGACTGGACAGGCTTTTGTGCCTCAATGTTGTAAATATGGTTAATTCTGTTTTCATAACAAGCTTTCTTAGCTGCAAAAGAAACACACACACACCCCACCCAGCAAAAACTCGTTGAAAAGACGTAAATGCCAGACGTCTAAACAACGTTAAAATTTGGTTGAAAAAGTGAAAGGTGAAAAGACGTCTTTTTCAGGTCGTCGAAAAGACGTCTATAAAAAGACGTCCAAATTACGTCTAAATTTGGTTGAAAAGTTAAAGGTGAAAAGACGTATTTTCAGGCCTAATTACTGTCAAAATAAGACAATTCACAAGAGTACCAAAACATTTATTGACACATTAAATACATCTTTCACGTAAAAAAACGCTTAAGCCTACATTTTCAAACATACCATAAAAACAGTAATATTGTGAAATATAACTACAAAAATAATTATTTTCTATGTGAATGCATTGCAAAATGTAATTTATTCATGTGAACTGTATTTTCAGCATCATTACTCCAGTCGTCAGTGTCACATGATCTTCAGAAATCATTCTAATATACTGATTTGCTGCTCAAGAAACATTTCAGTTGTGCTGCCCAATATTTTTGTGTAAACCATGATATTTTTCAGTATTCTTAGAATAGAACTTGCAAAACAGCAGTATTTATTTGAATTTTTTTTTTAACAATTCTTTACTGTAACTTTTTATCAAATGAATCCATCTTTTCTGTATATCTATATTTAACCTTATAGTTAGCCTTACGGTTGAGATGCTAACGGACTTTTTCCGAAGACACTAAACCATTTCTATAAAGTAAATATTCAACGGAAGCGTGTCATTTACATGAAAGAAAGTGTCAGGAACGCTTGTATGTAGTATTTGTGTAATTTTAGAGACTAAACTTACCTGAAATTAGTGAAAACAACAGTGAGAGACGGGAGTTGCTGCTGAGAGTTGAGCTGCCGCCCCGTTTCCATGGTTACTTCCTCTGCTCCAGGTCAGCGCGCGCGCCCATTAAAGCACGTAGAAGTCACGCAGAATTTATGTAAATATAATAGAAATGGTAAACGTGGTGTAGAAATAACATTGATTTTTTTTTAAACGCATGAATATTCGTACACATTAAACATTTATCATGAGGAACAATTTTTAATATTTATGCTTTATGTATTTTTAAAATATATTTCAATATATTCAACAGTGCTTCAGATATGTCAAATGTCTAATCTATTTCTTCACTTGCTACATTTATGTTCATGGCTATATTAGGGCTATGTGGTCCGAAATAAACGTGCTACTGCTAAATTTGTACTAAATTAGACGGACCAAACAAAGCTGTTTTCAACATCTATTGTGAACTAAATTTGGACCAAATCAGATGGACCAAAAAAAAACCAATTTTCAACGTCGCTTTTTGGGCTAAATTTGGACCAAATCCGACGGACCAAACGAAGACCAATTTTCAACGTCGCTTTTTGGGCTAAATTTGGACCAAATCCGACGGACCAAACGAAGACCAATTTTCAACGTCGCTTTTTGGGCTAAATTTGGACCAAATCCGACGGACCAAACGAAGACCAATTTTCAACGTCGCTTTTTGGGCTAAATTTGGACCAAATCCGACGGACCAAACGAAGACCAATTTTCAACGTCGCTTTTTGGGCTAAATTTGGACCAAATCCGACGGACCAAACGAAGACCAATTTTCAACGTCGCTTTTTGGGCTAAATTTGGACCAAATCCGACGGACCAAACGAAGACCAATTTTCAACGTCGCTTTTTGGGCTAAAAGAAGTCCATGACGGGCCGACTTGATTTAGCCCAAAAAACGACGTCCAAATGACGTCTGGTGCTGGGTGGGACACACACACACACACACACACACACACACACACACACCTTAAACCAGCCTAAACTGGTTTACTGGACTCTCACATTGGTCTTTAAGTGGTTTTGGGCCACTTTCTAGACAGACAGGATTCCTGTTAAACACTGGCTATGCCAGGCTGTAAAACCATCTAAAACCAGAAAGCTAAAACCAAAAAGAACAGCAAGTTTTTTTTTTTTTTTTTTTGTCAGCAGGGTTGTCTACTCATTGCTATGTTTTAGCCTTGGTTCAGTATTGTTTATCAGTGCAAGATGAATGCTTTTAAGCTATAATGTGACTATAATGTGTACAGTACATACGAGGTATCTCTAAATAAATGGCTGCAATGAACTCAGAAATACTGGTTTTGCACTCTGACACCTACCACTCCCGTTATAATGCCTCCAGGGATCACGTGATTGATATTTCGAAGAAATGAACTGCAAGGATTTTCCAACTATCTGGTTTCCCATGTGCTCCTTTCCAGTTGTTAATCTTGGAAACAAGCATACCGTGAATATATATTGAAAAAATTGTTTACATACATTGTTTACTATATTTATCTTAAAAGCGAGGAAGCGTCAGATATTTATCATTTGTTACTAGTCATGATGAAAAAGCTCACTGCCGTCGACTTGACTAAACTCGTCAAAGATTTCATCCAATTGGAGCATGTAAGGTCTTTAAATGTATATTTAAGATATTAAAATAAGCCATGTGAAGAACGTAGTAGTGTTTTTACAAAAGCTCCGTGAGTTCGCTAATATTCTGAGGTAAATTACTGTTTTGTATGATTAAGAAAATTACGGAGATGAAAGGGGAAAATAATACTCTTGAAATACAGCTGGACGAGACTAGCAGACTTCTAAAAATCGCACAGAACAAGGAGAAACAGTTAATTGAAGGTAAGACAATTATGAGGTAAAACCGTAAAACAAACAAGGCATTTACCACAGAAGTGGGCCAGACTAATCTCGGCTGCCATCTAGCGGTGTTATTACAGAAATGTTGAAGCTTTACAAATTTTGTGTTTAGGTTTTATATTTCTATTCCCATACTTGAAAGTATTTTGTACTGAGAAAGTTAAGAAAAGTTATTCGTTGATTGTTGCAGTATACAGTATAATAATGCTGTTTCTTCGACATGGCTTTATTTTCTTCACAGAGAGAGATGGGCTTTTGGAAACTGTCAAAGGTCTACAACAAACCTTACATCAACAGTGCGACCTCAGAGGTAGAGCAATTATTAACCCGAACTATTCACTTAATATAATTTAATTCCCTATCCAAAAAAAACAAATATTCACAAATAATCACAACTCTATCTAGTTGAAAATGAAAGGCTGAAAAATGCAGCTCTTCAGATGAAGAAAGAAAACGAAGATCAATTAAAGGTAGAATTGGAATGTATTCAAATATAGTACTGATGGCATAAGCATAAAATGTAGGGAGTTTTGAGTGTCTGTGCTCGATTCTGCCCGTGTGGTTCTAGGAAAGCAATACTTGGCTTCAGAGGATGGCAGCTGAGATGAAAGCTCTACAAGATCAACACCAGAGGGAGTTAGAAGACTGGGATAAAGAAACAGAAAGGAAACGTGAGGGAAAATCACAACACTTTTTACCACCCTTATCAACAGGAATAAAACAGATGAGACAGCCATCTCATGCTGTTAAACATTTTGCAGTATTACACATTTAAAAAGAAAACATTTCAATTGGAGCATGTAAGGTCTTTAAATGTATATTTAAGATATTAAAATAAGCCATGTGAAGAACGTAGTAGTGTTTTTACAAAAGCTCCGTGAGTTCGCTAATATTCTGAGGTAAATTACTGTTTTGTATGATTAAGAAAATTACGGAGATGAAAGGGGAAAATAATACTCTTGAAATACAGCTGGACGAGACTAGCAGACTTCTAAAAATCGCACAGAACAAGGAGAAACAGTTAATTGAAGGTAAGACAATTATGAGGTAAAACCGTAAAACAAACAAGGCATTTACCACAGAAGTGGGCCAGACTAATCTCGGCTGCCATCTAGCGGTGTTATTACAGAAATGTTGAAGCTTTACAAATTTTGTGTTTAGGTTTTATATTTCTATTCCCATACTTGAAAGTATTTTGTACTGAGAAAGTTAAGAAAAGTTATTCGTTGATTGTTGCAGTATACAGTATAATAATGCTGTTTCTTCGACATGGCTTTATTTTCTTCACAGAGAGAGATGGGCTTTTGGAAACTGTCAAAGGTCTACAACAAACCTTACATCAACAGTGCGACCTCAGAGGTAGAGCAATTATTAACCCGAACTATTCACTTAATATAATTTAATTCCCTATCCAAAAAAAACAAATATTCACAAATAATCACAACTCTATCTAGCTGAAAATGAAAGGCTGAAAAATGCAGCTCTTCAGATGAAGAAAGAAAACGAAGATCAATTAAAGGTAGAATTGGAATGTATTCAAATATAGTACTGATGGCATAAGCATAAAATGTAGGGAGTTTTGAGTGTCTGTGCTCGATTCTGCCCGTGTGGTTCTAGGAAAGCAATACTTGGCTTCAGAGGATGGCAGCTGAGATGAAAGCTCTACAAGATCAACACCAGAGGGAGTTAGAAGACTGGGATAAAGAAACAGAAAGGAAACGTGAGGGAAAATCACAACACTTTTTACCACCCTTATCAACAGGAATAAAACAGATGAGACAGCCATCTCATGCTGTTAAACATTTTGCAGTATTACACATTTAAAAAGAAAACATTTCCATTTTGTTTTCAAAGTGGATGCTAAAGATACTGAACTGAAAGTGGCTCATGAGAGAAATGAATGTGCTTTGGAGGAGATGAGAAGGCAGACGAGAGAGAAGGAGAAAGAAATGCAAAGCCAAATCATTAAACTTCAAATGGAGGTAGAATTTAATTTGTTAACCTAGTTGTTTTGTAAATAAATTGAAATGTAATAACTTTCAATACACTAAATGTTAGGTAAAAACATTTAGTATTTTTCTTAATACTGTTCATTTTATATTTGTTTTGCACAGTTTAAGGCTGTAAAATTACTTTTTCCTTTGCAGTTTGGTGCTAAGCTTGCAAGGGCCCAGAGCATGTCCACAAAGAGTCAGCCGCAGACACAAGCATCTGCTCCTCATCCACAGAATATCTTTAAAAGAGTGCGTCATACAGCAGCATTCATCAAAACACCTCATGGCATTGAGGAAAGCAAGGTTTCTGATCACACCTTTATTTCTTTCTCTATATTGAATCATTCTGTTTGTGTCTCCAGAAGCTCCAGTTCATTCAGGAGGAGAAAAACAAAGAGATTGAGGTTCTGCGTCAGAGGGTGAGAGAGCTGGAACAGCAGAGTCTTCAGGGATTGATGGACTCTCGTCTGAAGAGGAGGAAAAACTGAGACTTGTTTTGATCTGACCGTTGATACGTGAGGGCCTTCATCCAACTCTTTGACAGTTGTATTTATTTTAAAACACATTTCCCTCAGAATATGTTCTAAATATTTTTCAGTTACGTTCTGTTGTGTTCTTAATTTCAATATACATGTTTATTGCCTTTCCACTATAATAAATAAACATTTATGAACATATAACTGTGAAGACATTGCTATATGAGAGGTCATTCAGAAGGGAAGGATATAACAGGTGACATGGACTTCCAGGAGATTACGGCTCGAGTGTTTTTGCATTGGTTCGGGACACCTGTAAACACAACCGCCATTTTCCAGATAAAGCTTGTAATCTCATCAGAGACGGCTGGTAATTCGGTGCCTTCTTCAGTAACACACACATGCACATGCTCACAATACACTCTCATGACATCAAATACTAGGAAAATGCTGGTTCATTCAGAGAATTGGACTACTGAAATTAATTACTGTTAAAGTACAGTTTAAATCACTCAGCAGCTTAACAGTTACAACAATGTATTTAAAATAATTTATTCCATGCAGACATTATTGCATGCAACATTATCAGTGCTATTTTAGTAATATATAATTTAGTAAAATATAGTTTTTATCAATATTTTAAATAAGCTTTTATTTTTTCAGTTTTCCTTTTCATTTAATTTGTGTAATTTTGTTATGTGTGCTTTTGTTTTGTTTTTTAATTTTTGATTTTTTTCCCAGCTTTAGTTCAGTTTTAGATTATTTTAATACTTGTTAGATTTAAAAAAATGAAAATTTGGCAACTGTACTTTTTATCAGATTTATTTCAATTAACAAAAATGCTTTTAATAGTTTTAGTTAACGATAACAACACTGAACATTATGTTGTATTTTGAACTAATTTGGACGAGAATAGAAGCAGATATTATACACTGATAAAACAGCATCTGGCACATGGAAGAATGTAAAGCCTCATCATTCACATTGAGATGTTGACAGACGAGTAATAATCATATCAGCCAAACCCCTTTATGTGTCAAGGAGGTCCTGCAGTAATCTCATTAGTAAAGCTGTTACATAACGTCTGATCCTACGTTGTACAGTCAGAGATCAGCCTCATTAAGATCACTGACGATCATGTCTACAAGGTTTTCTTCTGACCTCCTGTGTGATTGTATCCCACCAGATCAAACATGACAATATCTCCCACGAGTGTTTCAAAAGAATCAGTGGTGCACATGTTTGCTGTTTATTCACCCTCCTTTGATTGCAGTTCTTGGCTTTTGTTCATCACAGGCATCGTCTAGGACAGCAGGGAGGATTAAGGTAAATCTAAATAAAGATGGCAGATTAGGAAACATGATACTAGCATGTTCTCTTTCACTCTGACAGAATCATGGATGGAGAGAGCTGAAGACTTCCCTGGAGACAGGAAGACTATCCAGGAGAAACTACATCAATGCTTTTTATTCATGCAGTTACAGAACAGGACAGATAAAATGAATGCCAGTCATATGTGACCTTAACAAGAACCTAATGTAACTCTTTTTTAATTTGTAAAAGAAGCTAAATATTATGGTTCATTCTTTAGAACATAAAACTTAAAAAATATCAACATGTGGACATATTCGTTGACTTCTAATCCTATAAAAAAGAAAAGCAGCCATGCATTGGTCTACTACAATTGAGCACAGCGGTAAGATCATTTAATTTAATAAAACATATGCTAATGTCATGTATAGATTTAGAGTAAAAGTTCAATTGGCATGCTTGTTCACTTTTACAATAAACAGTACAACACACAATTTGAATAATTAATAAGTGTAAGTAAAACTGTTTATTTATGGGATTAGTGTTTGTATGGGATGTGATTATATGTTCATGCCAGCTAATAATGTTCATTCTGATTGTTACATAATTAATTCATTTACAGCTATGTTGCTTAGTACGATTTTAAATGGTTAGTTGACCCAAAAATTTAATTTCTGTCATCATTTACTCACCGTCAAGTTGTTCCAACCTTGTTTGAGTTTCCTTCTTCTGTTAAACACAAATGCCAGTAGCCACTTCCATCAAAATTGATGCTGATGACAGAATTTTCATTCTTGTGTGAGAATTATACTATCCATATAATATAATATAAT